ACAGGGACCGTATTGTTGCAGTCCTTTTAATATAGTTAAATATAAATTTTCATGCTTCTTCTACATTTATTGACGAGTAAGTGTTCAAAATTTTTTATTCAATGTTCAATAATATCACGATTTGATTATAATGTTACAGCTCCATTTTTTCTCTCTTTTGTAGAGTCTCTGATGATGGCCTAACAGGCTGAAAGCGCTTAGACTAATATTACTGAGTTTTATTAATAAAACTCTATCTACACACTTTAAATACTTTAGATTCATTTCTAACAACATTTTTGCCTGAAACCTTGGCCAGGAGTACCAGGTCTGTGATTGCCAGTCAGAGTTAAATGAAGAGGTAAATAATGAAATATTAATTGGTACAAAATTTCCCATAATCAAACATGGAAATATTGATATTCATTTTGAACCGAATAATTTTGGTTTAGATTTAAGTTTTTGTGTTATTTTTTTGATTTTTTTATGCTATTATAAATAAATAAAAATAAGCATAACGTGTTTTTTCCGAAACAATAAAATTAAGAAAATTGTAACATAATTTTCAAAAAAAATCGATAATTTTGGTAGCACTGCACGATAATTTCTTCATCGGCTGGTGGCAACACTGGTCGGCATATTTACCTACTCAGGCATTAATACTTAAACCCCCATTGAGATCGAATGTATACCTAATATATTTCACTAATAGATTAATAATTATAACGTGTAGAGTGTTATTTTCACATCCCGATCACATATTGAACAATTTCTCCTATCAAAATATTATTTTTATAAGTACAAGTTATTTTTAATTTGTCTAAAATTCGTATATTTTTGGAAACACTAAGCTTTCTCTGGCTTACAAATTCTTATATTTTGTTTTCTATTAATAAAATTAAGCTTTTTCTCTTTAAGAGTTAAATTTTTGACTCTACTTTTATTTATTTGTTACAGAACAGTTTTTCTTCGTTTTGAGGGTTGTTCAAATTGTTTATCACTAATACTAAGTTTAAGTTTGCAACTCATTTCTTGTTTTTCGTTGTGGATAGGTAGGCAAATCTACTTTATGCTGCTGTGTATGTTTTTCAGCCTCAACATTTTCTTCTATTTGACTCTCGAGTTAAACTGAATGTACCATTTATCTAACAAAATTGGTACAGCATTTGCAATTAGTTGTTTACGTTTTGGGGCAATTTTGCTAGAAGACTCTGGCAAAAAATTATCTTCACAACAAAGGTTTTATTTAAATACCCAGAGCTTAAACAATTAGGAGCTAAACAAGAATACTTAGCTTTACCTTTCGACGATTTACTCGGGCCAGACATGTTTTGTTATTGTTACAAATATATTCAAAAAGGATTGGAAATAGATTCAAAATGAAATTATATTTCGTTAAGGCTAAAAAAAAAATGATAAACAAAGTCTTTAAGAAAATCAAACACCTAATATTAAATTAAATTGTTAATACTTACTAATTACATCAAATCAGCACTTGTGAATCTTCTTAAACTAAAAAATAACCCTATGGAATCATAAAATAACCACAATATATCCCCTGAGGGGATATATCATAAAAATAACTTTCATTTTGCTTTTATTTAATTGTAATTCGCCCATTTCGCCTTCCGCAATTCTGTTTTTTATTTTACGAGGCTGTCAACATAGTTGTCAAACCTCTATTTAAAATATCCCAGCAATAGTATACCATTGTATGGATGGTATCGAACTTGACAAAATCAAAGTAAGATGTTTGAAATACCTCTAATCTCATTAAAGTTTGTGGAAACTGGCAATATCGCTTTCATCTTATTGCGATGGTAGTTCTAAATAGTATGCTGAGGAACTAAACGTGTTACCTGTGCATTTAAACGGTTTATCTTATATATTAATTTATCTATGGGTGCTACTGGCAATATCGAATTACCTGCCTGGTCATGTGCCTGGCACAAGGCTTTTAATCAGCAGTCAGTATTAATATGATAAAATGCCTGCAATTTCACGTTACCTTTCCATCAGTAGGTCATTAATGGCCAATATATTTATTTCTACAGACATTAAAAGGAAAATCGAGTCCTATTAACTGTATTTGATAACTAAGTGACTTCGGCCCGACTGTCGGTCGTAGTGATCTATACTGTGACGAAGTCACTAAATTTTGCTCTCAATTAATTTAAAAATGTATATTTCAATTAATTCCCGCCTGAGAACATGTAGAAGTTCCCCCGTATTTCTGTTTCTCAGGAATTGCCGTTTTTCAACAATTGCGAGTGCCCTCGAAATATTCTTATATTTGCCGAAATCCGAATGTGCATTTTTAGAGTCGATTTCGTATGGATTATCTACCTTTTATTTGTCAAGGACTATAAGGGCATTTTTTTTATTTTTAAATTGTAAACAGTCGGCTGTAGTAGTGGTATCCCCACTTTGTCGTACTAGTCTTCCATCTTGCTTTACCGAAAAAGCATAAATTAAATAGGATCTGGGAATTGCGCTCTCTTTTCGCTTGCCAGCCGCCGTAAGCTCTTCTCTCGTAATTGCCGACAGCCGAAAACTATTCACCCTTGGTTAGTACCTAGTGGCGTGAGTACCGTAATTTAGTTCATCGATTAACCCCGTTTATCTGCTAAGGTAGGAACCATATAATATGATTTTTTTTAAATTGGCTTTTATATAATTAGTTGGGACACCCGTCTGACAAGTAAATAATTTTGATTCACATCCAGGATATATTATTTCATCCCTCAATGGGAAACCGTTGGCAATTTTTTTATTTGAGGTTGGACCTAGACTAGACACCGAGAGCTCTCTTTGTCAGCGACTATATCCAATTTCTTTTAAAAACCGCCCAGTTAACTTTGAAGTGAGAGATTCTAGCTGTTTTCGATTTTTTTTTATTATTTTATTGTTCTATTTTTTTTTCTTTTTTCGGAGGTTCGATCCGTTTCTCGGGCTAGAGTGATCTCTCTTCTGATGACCTATCTAATTTCCCCAAAAGAAGTTTTAAGTAATTTCCGCGCCTTACTTCGTGTAAAATTTCTTTTCTTTTATTTATTCATTCAATTGTATTTGAATCATTCCATTCTCCATCCACAACTAATTATTGAACGAAGCCGACGACTTCTGTAAAATTAAATTCACACACACGCTCTCGATAGACGCTGGGCAAAATTCATAAATATTATTTTCTATGATCGTTGTGGTCGCCGTTCAAAAAACCGCGTGAATAATCATATTTATTAGTAGGCGAACATTTTCATTTCCCATCGATTGGTTATTAAGATACAAGGGGACTCCAACAATCATTTATTTGCTTGCATTTGATTACCGTCATATTTAAATTGTTTTCAAGTGTATTAATTTATTTTCATACATTTTCCGTTTACTGGGCGTTTCACACTTCCCAGTCCGATTAGCCTCCTGAGCTAATAAACCATAAATATTTCTATATGTTTAAATAATTTTCAATAATAATAATTTATTTTTCATAAATATTTCCCTACGTTTAAATAATTTATTTTTAACAAATTTTCCGAATATAGGGATCCGTCAATATGTTTAAATAATTTTCAATAATGATAATTTATTTTCCATAAATATTTCCTTGTTTTAATAATTTATTTTTATTAAATTTTCCGAATACATGGGTCCGTCAATATTTAAATAATTTTCAACTTTAATAATTTATTTTTATTCAATTTTCTGGAAATAGGGATCCGTCAATATTTAAATACTTTTCAATTTTAATAATTTATTTTTAAAGAATAGATTTTCCGAATGCAGGGAGCCGTTCAAATATAATTACCGGTGTATTTATTTTTTTTGTAAATATATATTTTATTACCTATTCCTGTGTTTCTCTTATTACTGGTTCTTGACCGTTCTCTTTCAGGGTACCGTAGGGTACGAGGTGTAAAGGAGATTAAGTGTTTTATTTTTATTTATTCTAGTATAGTGGCTACCTAGCAGTGACCGCCTGGAATTATTTTTACCTCCACTGAGTACACCTTGAGTACACTCTGGTGTACCACAGGGTCGCAGAGCAAACTGCGATACCAAAACTGGCGCCTGAGCAACCCCTATTCGCAAATTACATTCATAGCGCCACAAAGACTCGCTGATTCACTGTAGGTGAACCAGGAGCCTGTCACAATACATACCGACCTTTTAATTATAAAAATTAAATGACAATCGTTACTGTTATGTCTGTTGTTGGAGTGAGGGAATAAATGATATACCTGCTATATGTGCTCACGCTTTTTATTTCCCTCCTTAATAACATAATATCACAGATCAACTTCTTACACTAATTATAACACAGTTATCATTCTGAGCATCATACACCATTACCGTCACGTTCAGCGAGATATCGAAGAAGGTCATGTGCCTTGTTCTTCTCAAAGTGGTCTTGTGCTACGCATATCCCAATCTTTCCGGAAGTAGTAGATTCCTCGCGGGAATTATGAATTGCAATACACCACAATTACAATTAGAGGATAACAGTTATTGGGACTTTTCTTCCCCCATACAAAATGTTGGGTTGAGTTACCTATAGTTTATATTCTAGCACAAAACGTGGTTAGATTTCTTCCAATCTTGGTATTTCTAGACATATTTAACTTTTTTAATAAGCTTCTTTTTGTCAGACCCACTTGCTACATTTCTCTTCAAAGATTTTTTTAATACAAACTAGAAAAAGTTATTTTTTAATCCGTACGTGTTCTTGATGACTAATATTTTTTCTCCACAATGACAGGAAGATTTGTAATAGTAGTTTATTTGATGTTTCTGTGCGGGATACATATGGTGTCTGAGAAATTATGTACAATTGCAAGAGAAAGTAGTTTCAAGTTTAAACCTTGAGGCATACTCCAAGGTACACAATACACCGACCATCAGGTGTTCCATAGAGTGTGCTTGACACAATGTAAATTGTCTTTTAGAAAGCAAGATGAATTGAGAAGTACATTATGTTGGCTTTTAGTAAAATAAACGAATAAATATTAAAAAATACATAAAATTTATTCTTTTTTCTGTTTCTTTTTTTCATTTCCTGAACAACAAAGTTTTTTACAAATTATATAAAGTAAAATTATTGGAATAGTAACGAACAGAACCACCAGGAGAACGACGTCTAGAAGTAAATATTGGTACCACGGTAAATTTTTACCAGCAATCTGTAAATGAGGTGCGCCTTTATGTCTAACGATGTACTCAACCCAATATAAAATTTCATCCATGGGTTTGATAGGTCGATCGTGGAATAGTTTTGACCTCATTTTAGCATTTTCTCGGTATCTGGAAATTACAAAATTACAATTAAGTAAAATATATGAACAAATAAAATATTTAAACAAATATAATAAAAGTAAAAATACGTATAATAATAAACAAAAATTTATTATTAGACAAAGGACCCCGCACTTTTTATAAGGAAAAATGGTTTCAGTCCCAAGCTCTAATTTTTCGTGGAAAATGTAGATTTCAACATCCTGAACAAAAAATGTAATGGGCACAAAAAAATCTACTGTCAGGATTTTGCGCTACGGGCCATAAAAGGTTGGCACCTGGGTTTTCAGGTTTCGTTTCATTTTTATCAAAAAAGAGTGTATTCAGTGGCCGATTATGGAGACATGCATGCCTGGAGGTGTGTTAGAGTAAAAAAGTACTATATATTTATATATATATATATATATATATATATATATATATATATATATATATATATATATATATATATATATATGTTTTTTTTTATATTATTATTATTATTATTATTATTATTATTATATCGTAATTCAAAACTTTTATTTATACTTACCAGAATTACAATGTTATCATTTTCTTTTTCATTAAATATTATAATGTATATGTATTTTTTTTTTATTAAATTATCTTTTATTTTAACTTTTCCCGGCTAGCAAATATTTTCTCTTTCAATAAAAAAAAAAACAATGTCACAATCTATAAATCTCATTAGCAGGATCCGTTAGATTCTTGGTACGACCCTGTTCTATTCTTAAATTCTCTGAACTGTAATATGCAGTCACATAGATGGAGACACATCAATAATTAGATGAAAATAGATATAACGTATATGCAACACAACATACTTTATTGTATATTCTTCGTTTCAAAACAATCAATGTCTTTTTATACACTAAATTAACTACTAAATTACACATCCATCCTTCATCTTTCATTCATCTAATTAAAATACTTGTTAATTCTCAATCACAAAAAAAAATAATATTCAATTTAGTTATGAACTTGATTAATTATGTGTCAACTCATAACCTAACATTTTACTACAAATTGATGTATTATGTATTTATTTTTTTTTGTGATTAACATAGAAAAAGAAAAATTGTAATACAACTGAAACACAAGGCAAGTAAGTACTTTTAATAATTTTTAATACCTTTTTATTCTCAGAACATGTCTGTCCGTGAACTGATAATTGTTTTTTTTTTCTTCTAGGGACACACCAAAATTGAATACCTTCGAGAGAAAACGATTGTTTGCTGTTCCTCCAGGTCACCACAGGTCAGTAAAATAGATTTAATCTCCAATTTTTCTGCTACTTGCAGTCCTTGTTCAATGTAAATTTTTTTAGGCACAATTTTTATCACTGTTGACTGTTTATTATAAAATTGTTCACCTTCAGATATTAACTGGTAATTATTTGACTTACATTATTACAACTTTTGCCTTTTTATCACTATTTTCATGTAATTTTTAATTGTCTGCCTTTTTTTTACCCCCAAAATTCAACATGTCTCCCTACTTGTTTATTTTTTTCTCTACTCATTTGTTTCTTCTTTCTTTTTTAGATCTTATTAAAATTTCAACTAGGAAACAAGGTGTTGTTTGGCCAATGGATTTAAATTTATAAAAAAGGTTAGTTTATTTAATTATGATAGGCTATTATAAAATTTTAAAAGTATTTTTCCCAAATTTTGTTATTACAATTAATATAACAGATAATGTGTTAGTTAATTATTAAAATTCAATTAATTTAGTTTCAATTCATCATACTTTATGAGATATTGTTTAATACTTATTATTTATTAAATCTTTTTTTTAGATGAAACATGGTTCGAAAAATGGCTTCGAGGATACTATCTACCAAAAAATGGAACGGAAACTAACCAAGATACTCTACATACCACAAAATTATGGACTAAACAAGTTAATTGTATTATTTTGAAAATTAAGAAAATATTTGCTAGGTAAGTTTTAATTTCCTTAGCTACGTTTTCAGATAGATCACTTTGAACAAAAATTATTTCATGACAATATATATATATATATATATAGAAAAAAAATAAGCCATAGAAATGAGCCACAAAAAAAGAGATTAAAAAATGTCCTTTCCGGTCTTCCACACCACATACTGAGGTTCTGAATGAGGCGCATTAGCTTTTTTATAGTGGTTCTTTGCCAATAGCTCTATACTTTACTGATGTTCCACAAACTATTCCATCTCAACTACTTCGATTAATGGCATTTGCTCTGGCATCGCGGACGCGATCTAATAGTACTGTAGGTGGGTACTTGACGTGTCTCGCATACCCCAGAAACCAGGTCACTGCCGCAATATGTGAGCATGTACCTAGGATTCTTTCCCCGACTTAACAAGTACAGTAGTATCCAACAACAGCATTTTCAACACCTTCAAGCTCGTTAGTAAATGCGATCAACAATTGATGTCTTACGCCGCCCCTGTATCGTGAAAAAGTTCTTACTTGAAGCAACCCGTCTTGACCATCCAAATCTACTTGATATTCCGCTCGTCTTCCATCACCAAGATTATCTTGAATATAGGATCGCACCAAGCGAGTTTGAAATTCACCAACGGTCAAGTCCTGGAGCTCCACGACCATTCTTTCAGCTTCCTGCCTTGTCGCACCTTGCATAACGATACGCTATTTATTAATTATTGCACCGGAATGGACATTTTTAATCTCTTTTTTTTTGGCTAATTTTTTTTGGTTATTTTTTTTTTTCTATATTCGAGGATGAATCAAATATAAATGGGACTTTTTCCTGAGCATTTACGGTTGGCAGCAGTGAGAACGCGCTTCTTGTATGCTTGGGTGAGGTCACTGGGAGTAGGAAGAGCCAGTCGTTGCAGATCCCACACCTGTTTGTCAGTAGCTGTAGCAATGTCCAAGCAAAAAGTACACCCTTCCACTGCGCAACGCATTATTATAAAATGCCTTGCTTCTGAAGGAGTTCAGGCGACGGATATTTTTCAAAAATTAAGTGCAAACATTGTCAAGGACTCGCTTGTTTGCTTGGCATAAGGATTTCAAGGAAGGGCGAGAACGAGTGGAAAATGAGGAACATGATCGCCGTCCTCGGACCTGCATTACCGCTGAAAACATTCGCGAAGTTCGAGACATTCTTGAAGACGATCAACAAGTTACGGTATCCGAAATTGCAAAATAGGTGGGAATAAGTTATGGGCGTTGTCAAACGATCATCACAAAGGACCTAGAGTTCCGTAAAGTTTGTGCCAGGTGGGTCTCTCGCCTTTTGAACGATAGTCATAAATTGAGGCGTTTGGAGATCTGTCAAAGGCTTGTAGGAAGGTGTGCGGAAGAAGGTTATTCATTTTTAAGTCGTATCGACACCTGCGACGAGACATGGGTCCACCACTACACTCCAGAGTCAAAACAGGCCAGTATGGAGTGGCGGAAAAAAGGGGAGGCAGCTTCAGTGAAAACCAAAACTCGACTGTCAGCTGGTAAGGTTCTCTCAACAGTATTTTTTAACTAGCAAATGATTTTGCTCATTGATTTTTTCCACGAGCGACGCACAATCAATGCTGCTTACTACTGCGAGCTATTGACTAAGGTGACAGATGCATATCGCAGCAAAAGACGAAAACAACGGATTCAAGAGGTCATCCTTCTCCAAGACAATGCCAGACCACATACTGCAGCTCTAACAGCCTCAAAACTGGAAGAAATGCACTGAACCCAATTGGAACACCCTCCCTACAGCCTGAACTTATCGCCCTGCGATTTGTATTTGTGTAGGCCGCTTAAGGAAGCTTTAGGAGGGCAACGATTTGACGATGACGCAAGTGTGGAGGAGTTTGTGCACAATTGGCTGCTGACCCAACCAGTTTCATTTTACGATGCTGTGATGAAAAACCTTCTTGTGCGCTGGAAAAAATGCATTTCTAAAGGGGGAGATTATGTAGAAAAATAATTTATTTTGGTCTTTCATCGTTTAATAAATACAGTTGATTTAAAAAAAAACCCGTTTATATTTGATTCACCCTCGTATATATAGTACTTTTTCACTCTAACACTCCTCCAGGCATGGATGTCTCCATATTCGGCCACTGAACACGCTTTTTTTTTGATAAAAATGACCCGAAACCTGAAAACCCATGTGCCGACCTTCTATGGCCCGTAGCGCAAAATCCTTATGGTAGATTTTTGTGTCCATTACCTTTTTTGTTCAGGATGTTAAGATCAACATTTTCCATCAAAAATTAGACCTTGGGACTGAAAACATTTTTCCCTATAAAAAGTGCGGGGTCCTTTACGAAAAATACTCGAGAAATATGTATATAAATATGTAATATACATAAAATATTGACTTTGGCAATCTAAACGCAGACCTTCTATTTTACAATAAATTAGACAAGGTATATTAGGACCAGACGTAAAACAAAGACTGCTGAGAAGCGCGGTGCGCCTGGCGTACGACTTCCGCCTCACTTCTTCTAATAGATTTGGCTTAGATGGTCCGCGTTTAAATTTCCGTGCCATGCTTATAGTCCAGTCATTTAAGCTTAAATTAGGTAAGAATCTCGGAATTCGAGATACCCAGCTGTAAGTCTATAAATACTTGTATATTGACACCCTAAAAGTTGTCTCAAAACCTACATATGATAGGGTGTACGCAACTATTAAATTTCAATGTCAAAGGTCACAAAAATCGTTTTTTTTGCGCTTTTTTTTGTAAATATCTCATTTCCTATGGATTTTTTGCTATTTGTATTTATTATTAATATTGTAGAATACAAAATTCTCTACAAATTTTGTTTAAAAAAATTCAGACTACAGTAAGAACGTAAAAGCTATGGAGCAGCAGAGAAAAACTGCTGCACTTTCAAAAACGTATGAAGTCTGTTTCGATGAAACAATGGTTGTACCAGAAAAATTCTTATCAAATCGAAATAACAAAGATATGCTCATTAATATGTTAATTGAAAAATTACAAGCTGCAAATATTACTACTAAACAAGCCAGAGATGATGCATGTTCTTATTGTTG